GGGTCCCCAAATGCCTGGGTCTCCCCATGGGCCAACTGGGAACCCCCCAAGGGGCAACTTGGGGATCAAGGGGTCCCCAAATACCTGGGTCCCCCCATGGGGCAACTGGGAACCCCCCCATGGGGCAACTTGGGGCGTTAAGGGGTTCCCAGATGTCTGGATCCCCCCATGGGGCAACTGGGAGCCCCCCATGGGGCAACTTGGGGGGTCAAGGGGTCCCCAAATGCCTGGGTCCCCCCATGGGGCAACTGGGAACCCCCCATGGGGCAACTTGGGGAGTCAAGGGGTCCCCAAATGTCTGGATCCCTTCATGGGGCAACTGGGAACCCCCCATGGGATCCAGATCCCAATTTGGGGACAATTGGGGCTGTTTTGGGGACATCTGGGGACAACTGGGGGGACAACGAGGGCCAGAGGGGGCAATCTGGGGCCAGTCTGGGGCCAGGTGACCCTCAGGGACAGTTGGGGACTCACGGGCCAGCGCTGGAGCCATCGTAGGTGGAGTCGTTGAGGACGATGGGCACGGGGTCAAAGGTCATCGCTTGTCCCCGCGGGGCCGTGTAGGACAGGAGCCCGGCTGGGAACAAGGGACATGTCACCATGGGGCCACCACGGGGTCACCACAGGGCCACCACAGGGTCACCAAGGCGCCACCATTGAGTCACCATTGGGGTCACCACGGGGTCACCTTGGGGTCACTGTGGTCCCACCACGGGGTCACCATGGGGCCACCATGGAGTCACCATTGGGTCACCATGAGGCCACCACAGGACCACCATTGGGTCACCATTGGAGTCACCATTGGGGTCACCATGAGGCCACCATGGGGCCACCATTGGGTCACTATGGGACCACCACAGGGCCACCATTGGATCACCATGGGATCACCTTGGGGTCACCATGGGGTCACTATGAGGCCACCATGGGACCACAACAGGGCCACCATTGAGTCACCATTGGGCCACCATGGGACCACCATTGGGTCACTATGGGGTCACCTTGGGGTCACCATGGGGCCACCATGGGGCCACCATGGGGTCACCATGGGGTCACCATGCGGCCACCATGGGGTCACCATGGGGTCACGATTGGGGTCACCATGAGGTCACCACGGGGCCACTATGGGATCACCATGGGGTCACGATTGGGGTCACTATGGGATCACCATGTGGCCACCATTGGGTCACCAGGGGGTCACCAGGGGGTCACTGTGGAGCCACCAACCATGGGGTTGCATGAGGGATGTGGGGAGGTGACAGGGGTTGGTGACAGGGGTTGGTGACAGGGGGTGGTGACAGGAGGAGGTGACAAGGGGACACTCACCATCCCATGGGCACCCGTAGAGCTCCAGGCGCAGGCAGACGCTCATGGCACGGGGGGCCCGGGGGTAGACACGAAGGGCCCGGGCCACCGGGGGAGGGGACAGGTCCTTCAGGACCACCCCCTCGGGGTCCTCGTTGCCCCCGATCACCTGTGGCAATGGGGGACGCTGGGGTCCACTGGGGACGTGGGTGCCACCAAGGGGGACCTCTCTGGTGGCCCCATGGGAGCCCATGACCACCCAAGGTCCCCAAGACGTCCCCAAGGTCCCCAATGCCCCCAATGACCTCAAGATGTCCCCAAAGTCCTTGGTCGCCTCAGCACCCCAACATCCCCAAGGTCCCCAAGATGTCCCCAAGACGTCCCCGCTGTCCCTGCTCACCTCGGCGCCCCAGCGGTCGCGCCACCGCAGCCAGCGGGGTGACCGCAGGACCCCAACATCCCCAAGGTCCCCAAGGTCCCCAAGGTCCCCAAGGTGTCCCCAATGTCCTCAAGACGTCCCCAGGGTCCCTGGTCACCTCAGCACCCCAACATCTCCAGGGTCCTCAGGGTCCCCAATGACCTCAACACCCCAATACCCCCAAGGTCCCCAATATCCCCAATGTCCCCAAGGTCCCCAATGACCTCAACACCCCAACATCCCCAAGGTCCCCAAGATGTCCCCAAGGTCCCCAATGTCCTCAACACCCCAATACCCCCAAGGTCCCCAAGATGTCCCCAAGCTCCCCAATGTCCTCAACACCCCAACATCCCCAAGGTCCCCAAGACGTCCCCAATGTCCCCAATGACCTCAGGACCCCAACATCCCCAAGGTCCCCAAGATGTCCCCAAGGTCCCCAATGACCTCAACACCCCAGTATCCCAACATCCCCAAGGTCTCCAAGATGTCCCCAAGGTCCCCAAGGTGTCCCCAAAGTCCTCAAGATGTCCCCAACATCCTTGGTCACCTCAGCACCCCAACATCCCCAAGGTCCCCAATGACCTCAACACCCCAGTATCCCAACATCCCCAAGGTCTCCAAGATGTCCCCAAGGTCCCCAAGGTGTCCCCAAAGTCCTCAAGATGTCCCCACCATTCCCCAAGATGTCCCCAAGGTCCCCAATGACCTCAACACCCCAACATCCCCAAGGTCCCCAAGATGTCCCCAAGACGTCCCCGCTGTCCCTGCTCACCTCGGCGCCCCAGCGGTCGCGCCACCGCAGCCAGCGGTGCCGGTCGCGGCTGTAGCGCAGGCGGTAGGCGTGGGCGAACTCCCTGCCGTGTCCCCCCGCGTGGCGTCCCTGTGTCCCCACCAGCGTCACCAGGTGCAGCCGCCCCAGGTCCACCTCCAGGAACTCCTCCTCCTCTGGGAACACGGGGCCCGCCGGGCACCAGGCACCGTCCCCATCGCTGCGACCCAGCCTGGAGACATCGGGGACGTCTTGGGGACATTGGGGACATCTTAGGGACACCAGGGGACATGGGGATGCTTGGGGGCACTGGGTGATGTCCCCATCGTGGTGATCAAGGTTGGGGACATCTTGGGGACACTGGGGGATGTGGGGATTCTTGGGGGCACCAGGGGATGTTCCCATTGCTGTAACCCAACCTGGGGACATTGGGGACGTCTTGGGGACATTGGGGACACCAGGGGACACCAGGGGATGTCTCCATTGTGGTGGTCCAGGTTGGGGACAGAGGGATGGCCTGGGGACATCAGGGATGGCGTGGGGACACTGGGGGATGTGGGGATGCTTGGGGACACCAGGGGATGTTCCCATTGCTGTAACCCAACCTGGGGACATCGGGGACGTCTTGGGGACTTTTGGGAAGTCCTGGGGACACTGGGGGCGTCTTGGGGACATCGGGGACACCAGGGGACGTGGGGATGCTTGGGGACACTGGGAGATGTCCCCATTGTGGTGGCCCAGGTTTGGGACATGGGAATGGCCTGGAGACATCAGGGACATCTTGGGGACACCAGGGGACGTGGGGATGCTTGGGGACAACAGGGGATGTCCCCATTGTGGTGGTCCAGGCTGGGGACACTGGGGGACACAGGGGAGCCCTGGGAGTGGACACTGGGCCATACTGGGCCATACTGGGACCCATTGGCCACAGCACACAGCAGCGGGAGCCCTGGGAGGGGACACTGGGTGGGATGGGGGTGCACTGGGGAGCAGGGTACTGGGTGTTACTGGCGTGTACTGGTTTATACTGGTGTATACTGGTGCGTACTGGGCTCACCGGCCGTGGCGGGCGGCGGTGGAGTCGGACCAGGCGCTGGAGGCCGAGAGGCGGCTGTCGGGGATGGAGCCGTCCTCCATGCCCAGGGCAAAGCGGCACCTGCCTGGGGGACACGGGGACATTTGGTGACATTGGGGGCGATGGGGGGTCAATGGGGGCATTGGGGACATTGGGGACACTGGGACATTGGGGACATTGGGGTCGTTGGGGTCAATGGGGGCATTGGGGATGGGGGGGACATTGGAGTCATTGGGGACATGGGGACATTTGGGGTCATTGGGGTCATTAGGGTCAAAGGGGACATTGGGGTCATTGGGGACATTGGGGTCAATGGGGACATGGGGACATTGGGGACATTGGGGTCGTTGGGATCAATGGGGATATTGGGGATGGAGGGGACATTGAGGATATTGGGGTCAATGGGGACAGTGGGGACATGGGGACATTGGGGTCAATGAGGACACTGGGATCATTGGGGTCATTGGGGTCAATGGGGTCATTGGGGACATTGGGGTCAATGGGGACATTTGGGAACATTGAGGACATTAGGGACATGGGGACATTTGAGGTCATTGGGGTCATTGGGGTCAATGGGGACATTGGGGTCATTGGGGTCAATGGGGTCAATGGGGACATGGGGGCCATTGGGGCCTTGGGGGCAATGGGGGCAATGGGGCC